CAAAAAGGGCAAAGCTGCCCCGGTCCCCGCAGCACTAGAGTCCCTCGGGGCAGTCCCAGCCACTGGCTACTTCAAACTTTATCAGAGCCCAAGAGCCCCCGATTGCCCCTTCACCCCTGTATCGCGGCAGCGTTCCTGCGCTGTGCTTTCCCCCGGTGCCCCCGTGCTCACGCTGCCCGTGCCCCCTCCCCAGCCCAGCCTGTCCTGCCAAGAAGGTGCCTTTAGTACAAAGGGAGCAATTCCCCCCCCAACACACTACAAAGGGTTTGGGGGTGAGGGTGACCCGCTTTGTTTCACACAAAGAGGCACCAAATGAGGAGCCAACGGGCCCCCGGCCCCTGCAGTGAGTTAGTGACAGAACGGAAGAGTCCTGACTCAGTTTCCCTTTTCTAACTACCACACCTCAGTGGCTGCCTCCCATCCTGCTCTCCTGACTGCAAGCCCTGTGCACCCACACTGCCCCTTCACTCTGATGGGAGCACAGGGCCTTACCCGAAGAAGCCACGTTCCTCAGGGCCATCTGGCCATGCCGGGTGGAGCCCGGCTGAGATGCCTTCTCCTGGAATCCTCCTTGGTAGCGAGCAAAACTCCTGCAAAGCAGCGGGCAGGGAATCGGTGAGAGCGCGAAGCCCAGCGTGGGGCAGCTGAGTCTGCCTCTACGGCCCAGAGCTGGGGAGGTAATGGCAGGTAGGGTGGCCAATTGACCGAAGCGATTCTGGGAGATTTCCCGCCCCAACATGACATAATGACTATCCTATTAAAATCTCCCAGACGCTTTCAACAGTCACCGGGAGATCCATGTCAATTCTGGGAGACTCCAGGCCAGCTGCAGCCTTAGTGAACCTGGACCTCCCAGCCATAGCTGGCTCGCCAGCCAACCCCTCAGCCCTATGGGGCACTAAGCATGTTAAATAACGATTAATTTACTAGTTGAGTAGATGATGGAATTTCCATTGACTACTCGCCTGGCACTTCCGCATTCCTCCTGGGCTCCATGCAGCGCTGCCCCTTTGAAATGCCATGCAGAACCGGGATCCACATCAGCCTCTCAAATCCTCCTCAGTCCACCAGACTAGGGATGTTAGCGAGTAGTTGATCACCTGGTAGTTGCCTGGACTATCGACTACTTGCCCCCCGCCCCTTTGCAGCCTCTATCAGATAGAGGCAGCAAGGGGTAGAAGTGACTAGTCGACTCGACTATCTGATAAGTCGACTAGTCCTTCACATCCTTAGGGGGAACCCCTTCCCTGCTGGTAACGCAACACTTCCGAAAGGTGGGGAGGAGCCTCTTTCAGGAAGCAGAGGGGAAAGCATGATGGCGGCCGGGCCCATGTCAGCGGCAGGGGCATGAAGGGAAATGGGGAATCGGAGGACAACCAACCAGGACCTGCTCCTACAGCGGAGAGAGAATCACCCTTCCCCTCCCCCTTCGGAAAGCTGAGCTGCACAACATGCCCACTGGCTCCTCACACCCGTCTGGCCCCGAGCCTCCCCGGCCCCTGGCTCAGGCCTGCCACGGAGGGACCCATTGAGTCTGCATTCAGGCCTCGACCTGTCCGCCGTGCCAGGGAACAAGGGGGCTGTGAGCACCCGGGGCTGTTTATTCTGTAGACACTAATCCACTGGGAACCTGGCTGAGGCCTAACGTATTTCACAAGAGCCACCCAATAGCCACATGCCACCTGGCATAGGAACGGCCAGACTGGGCCAGCCCAATGGCCCACCTAGCCCAGTCTCCAGCAGTGTCTGGGGCCAGATGCTATAGTATAGAGCAGGGGCGGGCAATCAGTTTTGCCCGGGGGCCACTTGAAGTGGCCTCGGGCCACCCCAGAAGGGGCGGATCCTAAACAGGAAGGGGTGGGGCTACCCCACCCCCAGACCACGATTGGTCTGGGGGGGGGGGAGCCCCTTTGCCCCCCCTTCCCACTCGGCAC